CTGGTGAATCCTCTCACCACCCGTGCACCTCTGGCTTGTACCCCAGTTCTGTAGGCATAAATAAATAAATATTTTTTAAAAAATATTCCTTTTGATTTTGAGAAATGTAAAGGCTAGACAGACATAAGTAGAGAAAGACTCATCCTAAACAGTTTCATTTTTAAAATAGCTTTGATCAACATATATTTAAATTCTATACTTATATAAAATAATTGTTAATTTTCCTCTCAACTGCTCCATTTTTCTGCTTCATTTCTTCCCGAAGTTATGTGAAAATTCACTTTTAATTAAGGGGGTGGTTAACAAAAACAATGAGAAAGATTGCATTCCTTCAAAGTTTTATCCAAGGAAGGGGAATCTGTAGGACAGAAGTACCAACTGATCATAACATCCCAAATCTGTCTCCTGGCAAGAACTGTAAATACACTGTACAAGAGTACCACCAGAAGTCAGTTGGGAGAGGAGTGCAGAAGACTTTGGTAGAGTATGGCTCTTGCCAAAGCACACCCTAGAAGAGAAAGAGTGAGGGAGTAAATTTCCCTGCTTTTTGCTCCCCTACTCCCTCATCTCCTGTTGCTCCTCCCATTGGATTAACGCAATAGAAAGCTAACGAAGGAGAGGATACCAGGTGATGCAGTCCACAGAAGTCAGTTTCCTGGGGGCAAAAACCAAGAAGATGGAGAGGGGTGAGGGTTGGATTTATATAGGCAAACAGAATATCCAACACAAAGCCAAAATATGGGAAACTCAAGACAGCATTTCTCTTTGACAAAAGGAAGTGGGGGAGGGGGGCAGAAGGGGAGGAAGAGCTAGGGCCTCAGATCCACAGTGTTCAGTTGTGACTACAGCATTCTCAGGGGCATCTATGTCAAACCCCAGTGTTCTAGTCCAGTCTTCAGTCAAAATCAACAAGCCTGTTTTCTTTGTGAAAAGTAATATGAGATGAGCTAACTTGGGCTTTACCACAGAAAAATGAGAAGCACCCGACATGACTCTGAAAGGTTCAAGGTCTCAGGCTCTGGAAAGAAGAGCCTGATTGCATGCATGATTCTACTGAAGGACTCCTCAGATCAAACTGAGGGCTGGTAAAATACTATAGAACATAGACTGCAGCCTCAGCTCGAACCACAGAAGCAAAGGGATTCAAAATTGGGTTTCCTATATCCATCAGGTTGGAGAGAGTTTACATGCAAGTATGTCAGAATAAGTTATTACTCATAAGGATAAATAAGGAGATGGGTGAAAGGGGGAAAGAGGTTAAAGATACAATGTAGTGGGGAAGAAAGTAATTAACCAAAAAAGTGATCAGGGTAGCCATCACTAACAAAATACAAAATCTAGAGCTGTTAGTAGCAGCCAAGAAGAATATCCTCCAAATGTGCTCTGAAGTCTGAATAACAGCTTGGCCTCCTCACTGGGGGCTGCTGCAGGTCCCTCAGTTATTGGACAGAGCTGCTGAGCACACCCTCTGCTGCTATGCTGAGAAGTCAACTAGGGAAGCCAGAACTGGGGTGGAGATGGTGGGGCGAGAGGCGCCAACACACAGGAGCCAGACAGCCAAATACTTGGTCACTGCTGCTACCACTTAAATCTCCTGGTTCTCTGGACAGGATTTTCATTTTGTTTCATTTTGGTGGGCTGGGGTGGAAGTTGTTTTTAATCTGGGCAGTTAAGAGTATTTTTCACGGGGAACAAAAATACTGAGCAAGGGAGAAAGGCACAGTTGTTCCCTTGTTTTTCTCGGTTTTTATTGTATGTTGGTGCAGAAAATTCAAAGGAGCACCGGCTGCTTCTGGGACAGGTGTAAGTGGAAAACAAGGTAGTAGGAGATACAGTCACACCATCCTTACATCCTCTCATGCTACTGACCTTGGCCCTATCCCCTTACTGCGTGTTTCTTCTTCGGGTTGAAGAACTTTATATTACTAATATAAAACAATTATTACACATGAGGTGGAATCAAATAATTTTATATCTAGTATCACATTTAGTCGTCGGCATACATTCCGAGGCAGGTTCTGTTATTACCATTTATCTCTTCAGAAGGGGACGGTAGGTCTACCTGTGCTCTTAATCTCTGGACCATCCTATCTTGTCCTTATGTGTCTGTTACGCTGTTTCTACTGTTGTCTGAGTCAGCTTGAGTCAGGCTCCAAGTTTCTGATCCTGAATTTACACATGGTCTTTTATTTCTAATTATTTCCTCTGTCACAGATGCTGAGAAGGGAAGACCAGGCCCTCCCACTCACCCACCTCGGCCTCTCTCTCTCTTCATGAGTGCTAGTTAGAGAGCCATTCTGAGGGATGCTATCTAGTCACATTGGGGAAGGGGAAGCCCTCAGACTTCTCTTAGAAGACCAGCTTCATCAGCTTAGAATCCAATGTTCAGATCCTAGATTCAAGAATATGATTCTTGAATCTATGACAGACAGAAAGCAATACTCATCTGGCAAAACTGTGTCAGAGAAAACAAATGTGAGACACACATCAAAATCACCTCACTAAATATTTTGAGAAGTAACATGATTTAAATACTTAACATACAGGCTTCAGTTACAATTCAGAAAGCTAACAAAATTTCCTAATTTAAATGATACATGGGTTCAGATAGCACCTCTCAATTGTTTATAATACTTAATTGCTGAAGGAGATGGAAAATGTAGGCATGTATTTAAAGTTTCTTGAAAAAAATTAGATAATGTTTGTGTTTCATGTGTTGTTTTTTTTTTTAAAGATTTATTTATTTATGCATACAGAACTGAGGGGTACAGGCCAGAGGTGCAGGGGCAGCGAGAGGCTTCACCAGAGACAGAGCGGGGAGCAGAACAGGCAGATCGAGGAAGTACACTGCTGAGGGGAGCAGCGGGCAAGTCAGGAGAGGCCTGCCTCGCCATGTGGTCTCCTCCGGGGCAGGCGGGGATCGAACTCATGCGGAAGTGGGTTCAGATTCTCAGTGCTGTGCTTTAACCCACTGCGCCACCAGGAGGGCCTCATGTGTTGTTTTTTTAAGAGATTTATTTATGCATACAGAACTGGGGTACAGGCCAGAGATGCGAAGGGTGAGAGGATTCACCAGAGTAGGGAGCAGAGCAGGCCAACTGACAAAGTACATTCCTAAGGGGAGCAGCAGGCAGTCAGGAGAGGTCTGCCGCACCATGTGGGTCACTTCTGGGGCAGGGATCAAACTCATACTGAAGTGGCTTTAGCTTCTTAGTGTTGTGCTTTAACCCGCTGCGCCACCAGGGGGGGGTGGGCCTCATGTGTTCATTTTAACATTAAGGGAGTAAATTTGAAGTGTCCTTCTTTTTCCTAGGTCCCTAATAACTCTCTGATGCCTAAACTAGAAATGGTTCTGGACTATTTCTGGCCTTTTTTAAAATAAGGAAATAAATATTAGTGTTTAGACAAAATAAACACTATGTAGGTCATGGAATTCCATGCTTCAATTTCATATCCTTTCTTTTCTAGGTAACACCCCATTCTGATATGGAGTATTCTGATATGGCATATGTATATATTCATTCATATATAAATGAAATGATTATTATTTTAAGACGATTCAAAGGTAAGTTTACATGAATCTTGGAAGCAGCCACTTTTCCATTTTTGTTTTTCTTCTCTTCTGTACCCTACTTCTCAACGCTGCACCCCCCAATATGTTATAGACTTCATTTTATCCACTGTACTAGGATGCATCTTGTTGCATCTCAGTAAAGGGAGATGTGGACTAGAATATAATATCTATCTCCTACAAACTGAGAGACTTCAGAAGAGCTGTATCTAGAAACCTCAGCAGTAGTCATTCTTAGTTTTCAAACTCAAATTCTATAAACTATAAACACTATTCAGCTGCCATCGCCCTCAACCTCTATCTAGGCTTCTTGGTTAGAATGAGAAGGCAAGGCCTTCCCTAGTAGAGCACTATGAAGCTGTCCATAGCTACTGCAGTATGAGTTTGATCCCCAGCTAGGGAGGTGATCCACGTGGCATGACAGACCTCTCCTGTCTCGCCCACTGCTCCCCTCAGCAGTGTGTTTCAGTTAATCTGTCTGTGTCCCACTCTGTCTCTGGTGGATCCTCTCAACCCCCACGCCCCCACCTCTTTCCTGTACCCCAGTTCTTGTATGCATAAATAAATAAAGCTTAAAAAAAAAATGACAAAGCAAGAGAGCTAGACAGTGAGAGTCTGATTGGCCAGCCAGGTGCTCCTACACTGGCTCACTTGGAGTTGGATGACTACTTCTGTGGTCACCGTAACCAAAATAGGACAGAGTTACTTTACCACCAACAGAATCACAAGGCTATATCTGCAGATTCTCTCAATAGGTTATATATTTAAGTGTGCAAGTATTCATGTCTGAGGTTGAATTGGAGGGAGAAGTACAAAAATGATCAAAATCAATGTATAATATATTCATGCTGGGATATCTAAAATGGATGAAAAATTAGCTTCAAGGTTTTTGAAAGCTTTATATGTATGGGTTACTTCATATGGGTTACCTAGGTTGCTCTGGGACATTTCTATGATGTTCTCATTTAAAAGTTTGGGCAGGCTTTTCTTGTTAAAATCTCTGTTCTCTGGCCCAGGAACTGCACCAAGCCATAGCATATTGGTCATGAAAAGTCATACTTAACATCAATCTACTGTTACCAATGGGTTATTTATTATTAGTTGCTAGAGCTGCTGGAGCTGCCATAACAAAGTACCACTGACTGGAAGGTTTAAACAACGGAAACATATTTTCTCATTACAGATGATAGAAGTCTGAGATCAAAGTTATCAGCAGAACTTGTTCCTTATGACCCGTGGCCTAGCCTTGCTGATACCCAGTTTTCTCCTTTTGACTTTATATGTCTTCCCTTTATGTCTGTGTCCTAATGTCCTCTTTTTATAAAGATACTTGTCACGCTGATTTAAAGTCTACCCTTAAAAAAAAAATTTTAGTTTAATGACATACTCAAAGATTGTAACTTCTAATAAAGCCACATTCTGAAATATGGGGAGGGAGGATGCTTGGACGCTAACATATGAATGAGGTGAGGGGCACACAGTTCAATCCATATTAATTAGCAAATCTCTTGTTTGGAACTAGGAATACAAAATATGCTTTCTGCTCTCATTGAGACTATAACCTCCTGCCTGGTATTCCACTTTATTATACTATAACAACACTTCCAGAAAGTCACCAGGTTGATTCTTTTCTAAACGGCAAATCCGATTTTGTCATTTTCTAATGGAAGGACTCCTCTAGCTCCACAATGCCTTTGTGCAAAGTTCAAGTGCCTCCCTCAGTACTTACAGTTTCTCATAAGCTCCAGCGCATCTTCCCAGCCTTGCCTCCAGTCACTCTTCTACCCTATCCACAGGCTGCCTGAACCATTGACAGATTGTGTACTTAGATTTTACAGTACTTTAAAGACAGACAATTCCATATTATCATTTTCTACCATTATTAGAACAGGATTTTGAACTCATCTGGAAATCTAATTTATTACTTCTGATTAGCTCGCTAAGTATTTGTGAAGTAACTACCATATGCCTGGCACGATCCGAACATTTGTTACATAAAGATGAAAGTGAAATCACTGATTTAGGAAGGAAGATGGCAGTTAAATTGATAACTGTAATATAATATGAAAATTGCAGAATAGGAATATGCATACAATACTCTAGGAACACAAGATAGATGGATTTTTACCAGAGGTGGTCAGGGAAAACTGCAGGAAGGAGAACTGATATTTGAGCTGAAAACTTGATAGGAGGAAGAAAGGAATTTCAAATACAGAGCTGTAAAAGCAAAGGCAAGAGTCACATATAACACTTGCTAGGACACCAGCTGACCCTGAACCACTATCCTTTTCTTTCTCTGAGACTCTCATGGGTTAAGTACCCTTTTTCTTAGAACAAGCAAACCCCAGAGCATCTAATCCTGTTATCTAGACAAAGACTGCTGAATTCAGACTCCACAGGCTCCTGTATACCTACCTGTATGAAAGACACTTTCGATTCCAAGATAATCTCCTTCTAATAGAGAGTCTAAGGTGATTTAAAGCCGCTTTATGGTACCTCTCTAGAGAAAAGCAAGAGAAACTTAACCTCTGAAAATTTACCCTGCTACATATTATTTCTTTTCAGAACATTAATTCTCATTCTTGACTGCCAGATTAGATTTAATTAGGCAGATATAAAAAAGACTTCAATGCCTGGGCAGCACCCCAGACCAATTAAATTAGAATTTCTAAGGCATAAATTTCTAGGGATAAATATTGTCTAAATCTCCCTAGATGATCTATTGTGAAGCCAAGGTTGAAAATCACTGATTCAGAGTTTGTGGGAATTTTCCTTCTTAATATAGATAATTTACCCAAACTCAAGTTTCTCTGGCAACATTACTTATTGATTCAGAAATGGAATGGACAAACATTGCTTTTACTCATGCCAAAAGGAAAGTGGGTCTTTTCCTCTTTTGGTTTATGTCACTCTTACAATTCCCCTCCATGTTTATCTTTGATGTATGTGTGTCTTCCTCTCAACCTCATGACTTCAGATTAGGAGACAAATCTTGGCCAAGTGGGTGTTAAGAACCCACAGCCTATCTCACTTCTGGTTCTTTGCTTTTGCATGTAGAAGGTCTTAGTTTAAGGGTACAGATTCTTGTATATCTCCTCCCCACCCCAGTATTCTTTGGAGCAAATTCTCTGTAGCTCCCTCTTCATGTGTAGTTTGGTCTCAGGCCCTGATCCTTAGACTGAAATCAGGTTCCATGCAGGCAGTCTTTCTAGTGTCCAATACTTGCAATGCATTGTTGAAAGAGTGGCTAAAGGGAACAAAGAGAGCCTAAGCTCACAAGAGGAGGGAAGACGAAAGATGGATAGTCAGCCCTCACCTGAGCCCTGAGACTTGACCTGTGCCCTCTTTCTCTCCGATTTGAGGGGAGAAATTATGAGAAGGCAGCGTGCCAGGTTGCCAGGGCTGACAAGAGAAGAGTGAGCCAGTTAGCCAGCCTACCACAAAGCAGCAATGGCAAAGGGAGAAAATCAGAGCTAGAGTAATAGTGGTGACAGTGATGGAACAATGAAGTAATGAAGCCCAGTTCAGGCAAGAGTGCTGATGCTGCAGTCCATTGAGTCAGAAAGAACTGATTTCTCATCAAATTAACCAACGAACACCTGTGGATAAAGCATCCCACATAAGTGTTGGCTCCAGCCAGGCTGCTCATTTGTCAGCATTGAAGTGACATCATGTAAATTCACATGCAGATGCCAAACTTGATGAAAATTCATGATTCACTGTGTCTGTTGGGCTCACACAGCTAACTGGATGACCTCTGAGATTCCTTCTGGCTAATTTTAAGAATTTGTGATCCCAAGTGGCTGCCATGAACTGGGCATGTACCAGGAAGTACATTTGGGAGAATTTCCAAGGAGCTTTATGGGCAGGTGCCAGGGTGTTTTATGCAAGAAATGAAGGACTCTTTACCATGCCAAAGGAAGGATATTGCCAAGAGGTAATTTTCAACAGGGGATTCACTGTTTCTATGTGACCATTCTTCCTAACTAGTCCTCTAAACAGTATACATTACGTACAGGGCCAGTGTCTCTGATCAACCCTTACTGAGGCAGGATGATTTTTTTTTTTCCAGGCAGAGACCTTGCTCATCTTCTTCCTGGTTACCCAGAGACAGTATTCCCTTAGGACCACACTGTGGAAGACATCCCCACCTCCCATTGCTATTAGCAATCTGTCCACCCTTCTGTGGCTTTCTAAGCTTACTTGTTCAAAGGCACAACAGGGGTCTTGATCTTTATTTCTGATCCCTCCAGGTAGTAAAAATTGTGCCAGTTCCTTCTGGACAGAGAACCAGAGTCAGCAGAGAACTCAGCGGAAATATGGGTTCTGCAAGGATGGAAGTAGACCATGTGTTCCCCCCACGTGCATAAACAGTTTTCTGTTCTCATGCTGAGGGAGCAGCTGCAGCTCCACACCTCATCCCCACCAGACCCTTGCCTCGCTCCCTTTTTAATCACTTATTCTGGCTTTTCTTCTCCCTGCCAACAATAAGTCATAATGGTTTTTACATATAATGTTCCTCTCCTCATGGTGCAGCACTAACAGTGAAATTACAGAAAGCTAAAAGGATACACAGAAAACATTACTTACACAATTGTTCACATATAAAAATCAGGGAGACATTTAAAAGATTTCACTTCTAATCATGAGTTGGGAGCATTGATATGGTTTAAATTAAAAATTTTCTTCTACTTCCTGGTGTTCTTGCAGTAAAATTCTGTTAGTAGGAACCTAACTACTGAGCTTAGGGTCACTTGAGGATCTTCTCTATAGCTCTAAATTTTTAGAAGGAAAAAAAAGAGTACAAGAACAAAATTAAACATCATAGATTTAATTTTTAGAAAATAGTTATTTTATAGCATATTCCAAAGGCCATAATAAATTAGTGTAATCTTATGAACCTCCACTTGGTATGTATTGGCAATAGTAGGTGATGGAAAATCAGCAAGGTTCATTTATTCTACACAATGCTTGAAATTTGAAGGAGCAAATTT